GAAGCTCTGTTTCCATTAAAATAAACAATACAAATTGCAGGATGCCAAAAGCTTTAGTCAAAGCGTCGGGAAAAGGTTCCTTTTGTTTTTTGGCCATTGTAACCCAGTCGCATTTGAAAACAGGCACATTCTGGATCAAATAAGTTAAAATCCTAAACAGTCAGCTAATATTTTAGCAGAGAGTTGGCAGATAGAAACGGGTTCAAATATGCCATTAAAGCGAATAATGCTGGCTGGGTCTGCTTTTCTTCCTTAAAAATATTTTCCACATTTCTTGAACCCTCTTGTTCAAGACCTCATGTTGTGACTGACTCTTGTGGGTGATTTGATCATCTTTTGGAAGTGTGTGTAACTGAATTATTATTGACATTTGGCAACTGCCAGGCCAAGTCTCTGTAATTTTCTTCGCAAGATTGCCATTGCCTCTTTCCTAGGGCTGAGAAGGACTGACAGGTCCAAGGTCGACCAACTGGCTTGGCCTGTTGTTCTCATCAAATTGGCTCTCAACCCAGGGGTGGTTTTCACTTAACTTCCCTATCGGTTTGCAAATATGTGTGAGCTCCCCCGCACCCCATCCGTGCATGCACTGTCCTCAGAAAACATCCCTAAATAGGATGATACAGAGGCTGGGTGGTCAGGCCCACACGCGATTTCCCCTACCGGTTCGGGTGAACTGGTATAATACCACCTCTGTCTCAACCATCATCTATCTTGACATTAACCTTTAAGATTACCGTATTTTTGGAGTATAAGACGCACCTAGCTTTTGGGGAGGAAAACAAGGGGGGGGGGAAATCTGCTTCTGCCTCCCAGCAATTTGCCTCCTTGCAACAAACAGCAAACAGTACAGACAATATACACTGTTTGTAGTGTTACATTTCAGACTATACTTGTACAAATGCTGTTAAAATTGATGTGCTTTCTGGAAGTATAGTTATTCTCTGCTATTTAAAAGAAGATACAATAGCACTGGGCCTCTTCAGATCAAGCATTTTTTAAAAAGCTTCTTCATTTTGTTAAGCTGTCTAGAACAATAATAAAGCAGTCTTTAAAAATAAGTCTAATAATTTAAACATTCTATAGGCATTTATTGACTTGCCTTCTTGCAGCAAACAGCCTGATTAGCACAAGAAAAAAAATCTGTTTCTGCCTCCCAGCAATTTGCCTCGTGGGCAAACAGCAAGTTTTACTTTAAGTTTAAGCGCCTGCCGATCATCAGCTGTTTCAGGCTGCAGGGATTGCTATAGCTTATTGCAGCCTCCGCAAGCCCATTTCCTTGTTTGCTGCAAGGTGGTAAATTGCTGGGAGGCAGAGGCCAAAGGGTGGGGTGCAGTGGTGGGTGGGGCTACATTCAGTGTATAAGATGCACCCAAATTTTCAACCTCTTTTGGGGGGGAAGATGCGTCTTATACTCCGAAAAATACAGTATTAGTTGAGTGTTTAATTTTTAATGTTTTTTGTGCATTGGGCAGTATTATAGTTCTTTTGGAACAACAGATGTTTCAAGCCACAGAAAATGGAAAAACCTACATTGTTCTATATCCTTGTGGAGAATCAGCTCTCAAATTGCCATCTGCTCCTGGTTTCTAGTTCATTTCGATTTAAACGCCAATAAAGATAACTAAGTGGGGGAGAGGATGACAGTAAGATTTAATTTTGACTTTTTAAAAATTGTTGTCACTGAACAGATTCAGCAGTTGATCAATTCTAGTGCCACTCATGTGTAGAAAATTCCTTGAGGTAACACACTAAACATGATTTGCAAAACGTTAATGTGTGAACCGAAGTAACAGCAAAATAACTGCAGAAAATAAGTGCTTTAATTCTTTTGTAAGTCAATAACAGAAAACCTCACTCAAATAAACTTAGTGTTGCCACAAAATTGACAATAGAGTTGGCTTTAATGTAATTGTGCAACAGAAGGATTTGCAAAATAGACGGTGTCATATTTTAGAATCACTCACTTTTCCAGAAGAGGCAAATATCCTTGAGAACTATGTGTATAACTAGATAGGAAATATTAATACCAGATAAATTATCGTATTTTTCGGAGTATAAGACACACCTTTTTCCCTCAAAAAAGAGGCTGAAAATCTGGCTGCGTCTTATATACTGAATATAGCATTTTGGGCCTCTTGAAACCCTGCCCCCTTTGCAAAAATGGCCATGCATAGCCTTATAGAGTGCTCCTGGGGGCTGGGGAAGGAAAAATGAGAAAAGAACAGGGTGTGTCCCCCCCCCCCCCGAGCACTCTACAAGCCTCCTAAAGGCTATTAATGCGCCCCCTTTTTGACAAAAAGGGCCCGTTTTGCAAAAAAACTGGCCATTTCTGGGAGGTCTGCAGAGTGCAAAAACTTTTTTTTAATTTGCCTCTCCAAAATCTTGGTGTGTCTTATACTCCGGTGTGTCTTATTTTCCAAAAAATGCAGTATGTCATGTACACATCGTAAGGAGGAATTGTTAGAAACATGATCTCCCCTTGACTTCTCTGTAATATCAAAGCATAATCCTGTATGTCAACATGGGAATCTTTTCTTAACCATTAGAATAAAAGTTATTTACCATTAACTGACAGTAATTATTTGTCCATGCTGACACTGTAAGTAACAATCATTTATATGTCATTTCCCTGGTCTTTTTATTCCCTGTCACAAAATCTAAAGAACAGATCACATTTTTCAGATTTCTAAATAGAGCTAAGGGGGGGGGGGGGACCTGAGAAGTGTTCATTTATTTCAGTACTCATATAAATTATTTAAACACTTCATTCAGTCCTCATTTATTTCCCATTGCAGTTACTATCTTGTGGTTGAGAGGTGTTATAGCACTTTGTGGATATGGAAAACAAGCTAATTATATATTTAGTAGCACGTTTTGAAAGAGAAATATTTGGCATATTCAGCCTTATCCTGCACAGATTTCAGGAATAATAAATGTGGTGAGCATTATTCATAACTTCTAATGTTTTTCTGTTACTTAATGCAGCATTCCTTTCAAAATCTCAATGTAGCACATGCTTTTGCACATTTATGCTCAATAATTAAGTCAAAGCAACTGAGGTTGTTCTTTTTTTAAAAAGGTGAAAAACCTGCTGTTAAAATGTAATTAGTATGTTATCACATAAATGTCTATAAGTATATAGTCACCAAAGTCGGCCATAGTTACTTGCTCTTTAGTGAATACTTAAAAGCCCAACAAATATGAACAAGAAGCATGCATTAAAAGATAGACACACATTCAAAACCCATAGTAATCTGAGGGGAATGTGATCAAGAAATTTTTAGACTGCGCAGAAATGGATAGATCAACATTTGCTGTTAAGGATAAAGAAGAAACAATACTTTTTGATATAAGATATATTTTATCAATGACTAAATAATAGAAGTTAGAAAGGAGGAGATTCAGTTGGAGGAAATGGTAAAGACGAGAGTTGTTAAAAAAGATGTTGTCAAATGTTAAATGTTAATGTTACTATATTATATTATATTATGCTATTATATTAATATGATGGTGAGGAATTATAACAACAAAAATGTATAATATGATTACTTAAGCACAATTGTACCCAGAACACACACTGTTCGATGAAGATTGGATGTTACATAAATAAAACAAATAAAACATGAAGAAACCTCATAGTAATCATAATTATATTATATGAAAATGATTCAGAATGCATCATTGAACTTTTATTAAAAGCTTGGAAGAAGAGAGTAGAGATTTTTTGTTTGTTGAATCATCTTTCCATTAACTCCCAAAGCATCTTTTCAATTGTGATCGTACAAGGATTTATCAGGATGTAAATTTCATTCAATGCATTGGATTTTCTTCTGAGCAGGCATGTACACAGAATTATGCTCCTACATGTTTAATGCAGATTTTTAAAACATAAGCTTTTATAATTTTTACTTTTTAAAATAAATTTTATAGTTTATAATGGTTATATAGTTTATATAACTTTTCAATTTAATTAATTAACTTTAAAATTATAACTTTTTATAATTCATAATTTTTACTTTTGTTTTAGAACTAGGAAAATAATAACAGTTGTTTATTACAGAGTTTATGTCATTTTTCTATATCAGGGCTATCAAACTCAAGTGGGTGGGTGGACCCGCAGGGTTGCCATTACCAATTCGCCCCGTACGAACCAGCTGAATTCCATCACTGCACATTTTCAATATTTGTACCAGCTGTGACCACTTATACTATGTGAGATCGGTTTGAACCCTTAAAATAAAAAAGAAATGTAATTTTGTCTGGCAACTTTTAAAACAATTATTCGCAAAAAGGTGATAATAGGTCAACTGCTTAATACTGTAATGGTTTGTTTGATTTGTAGAAGAGAGATTCAAAGATGTTTCTCATTGGATTGCTGACTCTTTCTCTCTTAAATATAAATTTATGCCGTCAAATTCCTAATGGTGGCTGCCTAAGTGATGGTTGTGATAAACTGGGAAATAGTTTTCCACCTCATTTTTTATTGACAAATCCTTGCTTGCTTGCTTCCTCTTTAAGCCATTGGGAATCAAAAAGATAATACGCTTGTGAAATGCTTAAACATTTGTAGTAATCACAGCTAAAACAGTTGCCTGTTTGTTTATTTGTTTTTGTTTTCTCATGTTTAGGATATTGGATGGGTGTCCCAAAGGTGCTTTTTTCAAGAGGCAACTGGACTTTCTGATTTTTTTCTTTGAAGACATTTCGTTTCTCATCCAAGAAGCTTCTTCTTGAATGAGAAACAAAACTTCTTCTTCAAAAAAAAAAACAACCAGAAAGTCCAGTTGCCTCTTGAAAAAGGCACCTTTGGGATAACCATGACCTGGATGACTGAGAATCTCCATAGACATATTGGATAGGTGTTTTTGAGTTCTTCCTTCATTTACCTTTAATTGTGTGTCTCTGGCCTCTATTTTTATGTGGATTTCTTTTCCCACTTAATAGCAGCAATGTTTCTTAAACCCTCTGTGCGTAGGAATTTATTCTGTGTTTCTTTGCAGGGTTTTTTCTTGACGGTGTCACCAGAATCCATAATGAAAGTCGCAACTCAAGCTTCTGCAAACAACAAGATCTTCAGTTTAAATCTTTCTGCACCATTCATTAGCCAGTTCTACAAGGACCAACTGATGGAAGTCATGCCTTATGTTGACATCCTGTTTGGGAATGAAACAGTAAGAGCTTCTTGGAAGTTTCCTTGTTTTAATACTGTGCTGGGCATGTTAAATGGTACGAGTGGCAGATCTGGGCTGCTGATTCTGGGTAACCACTAGTTGTCAGCAGAGAGAGAAAGAAAACAGGGCTTTGCTGCCAGCTACAGGTAGCCCTTGAAATACAACAATAATGGAGCCTGCCTATTACAATTGCATGCCATGATGGCCGTTAAGTGAAGCATCTCACTTAACAATCGTTCCAATCCTTTTCTTCCCAGTGCAAATTTTAAATAAAGGGTCAGAGCACATTTAAGTGGAGCACAGGGTGCCTCAGGGGTAGGGGAGGACTTTGGAAATCTAGTATAAAGTGGGAGACCGTTCGAGTTCCTGCCTTAGACATGAAATCCAGTTGTGTGACCTTCTCTCAACCCGTCCCACCTCACAGGGTGGTTGTTGTGGGGAAAATTGGAAGAAGAAGAAAGTGTGTTGGATATGTTTGTTGGCTTATTTGTAAAAAATAGTAAAGGTGGGAGACAGACAGGCAGACAGATAGAATAACTGGTTCTGGAAATCTCTTTAGTAACCCATGAGTATTATCAAAATTTAATATTTTGAGTTAATATGTTGATGATTCATTGAAACTGTGAACTATGATGAACCATAAATTATTTATAAAACTAGTAAAGGCGGGACATAAATAAAATAAACAAAAAACCCAAATTTGTATATTTGCAAGTTAGTGTTTCTGCTTACCTCATTGGTATTTATTGACTAGGCTTCTCACAATAACTTCAGCACTTTTAGTAGAAGCAATTAATGCTTTTAACCAATTCTTGCCATTCTATAGTCATTATGTAGAAATCCATGATTGGAGAACTTTATTATTGTCATTTCTTTTAATTATCGCTGAATTTAGTTTTCTAATAGCATCATTGTGCAAATGATTCTTAGCTGTAATACCTTTCAAGTTTATTGTAATCACTGGATAATTAACCTGCTAGGATTTAAGCACACTCAGCTTCGCCTCAGGACATTTAACACTTAAATAAGGTCAATTATCTCCTGATGATAAGTGCCTGGTCACAAGTTCTGCTTAATGCATCTCAGAAGTGCTCACCTTAAATAAGTAAATGTTCGTTGCATAATTTTAAGTTTCACTACTTTGATCACAGCTCTTTATATTGTCTGAGGATACAGATTCTAAATGCAACCCAAATGCCAGAGAATAGAGTAGAATAGAATAGAATGTGGAATTAGAATGGAATAGAATAGAATAGAATAATAACTTTATTATCACTTTGAATTTACACTAATCGGCATACATTAAAGTGAAATTTCATTGCATACAGCTCTCAAAGGGTCACTACCTTCAATATAACATAACAGAATAATATAACACAATAATATAACACAATAAATAAATAAAGATAAATACAGAATTGTCCATGTACCTCCCTTTGGGACAAGTATTTTCCATATTCCAAAAGTTAGATATCACCAAATGGGCACCCTAAGAAGTCAGTGGAGGAATTTTAATTCTCTGAAAAATAAAAGTGAAGGAAAATGGTGTGAGAACAGAACAACACCCAAAGTATGTTCTTCTGTTCTTGTCTTCAGTCTTGATTATAAATATTTCTGTTAAGGGGGAATTTTCAGTTTGCATGGATCACTTCACCCCAAATCATCTTTCAGCCATGATCAGTTGCTTGCTCTAGCACCAGGATAATGTTCTGATCTGCAACAGGAAGCAGTGGGAAGCTCCATGGACAAACAAATCTTCCACCTTCACTATCCTTCTTCCCTTCCGAGGTGGCGCAGTGGTTAAATGCAGCACTGCAGGCTACTTCAGCTGACTGCAGTTCTGCAGTTCGGCTGTTCAAATCTCACCAGCTCAGGGTTGACTCAGCCTTCCATCCTTCCGAGGTGGGTAAAATGAGGACCCGGATTGATGTTGGGGGCAATATGCTGACTCTGTAAACCGCTTAGAAAGGGCTGAAAGCCCTATGAAGCAGTATATAAGTCTAACTGCTATTGCTATTGTCTTCAAAAAGCTGCAAAGCTAAGCTTTAATAAAATAAAATGCTTTTAAAATATAGCTCTGGCTTGAAGCCCCCATTGATAAAAATCCTCTTATTGGAAACGCTCTAAATTACTGGAATTAATCATGCTGTTTATAAAATAGCACACTTTCCATGATTCATCTGATTCAATTAATCTTTCTATTTATCGGTGTTACCTTGACAGCGGCACTATAAATTCTTCTATAGGTATTTAAATCATTGGCCAGGAACTTGTGAGTAAAAAGAAATCTATAGACAAGATTTTTGATGCTTCATTCAAGTTGTGTTTTATAGAAGTCCTCTCTCTCCTTCCCTCCCTCCCTCTCTCAAAATCATATTACAGTAAAAAATTTTAAATGACAGTGTTATTTTAATATGTTACTATTTTATAGGACTTAAAAGATGTTTTATGGTTTGATGTTTTTCTGGTTGTTTTGGTCTTGATAGCGGCAAGCTCAGGTCAGAGATCTGGACAAATTAAAGGCCTACCTGATTAAATTAAGCCACAACTAACGGTAAAACACTACATTTATTCTAAATATATTCTAAAAATATATTAGAAACATAGAAAAGTGATGGCAGAAAAAGACCTAGCAATGATCCATTGAGTCTGCCCTTTGATCTTGGTTTTATTTAATATACAGGAAGTCCTTGTTTAGTGCCTGCAATTTGTTCTGGTGAAGTGGTTGTAAGTGACATTAAGTGGACCATGTGGCTGACAGAGAAAGAGGGGGACACTGGGAAGATCACTGGTTGTTGCTGTCCCCCTCCAAGTTCTCTTCTACAGTGACCCATTCCCTCCTTTTTTTGACCCCCTGCAACACAGAGAGATTGCTGAAACAAACTATGTCTTCCTGATCTGCTTTTCGACCCAATATAAAGCTTCCCTAAGTGCTAGTTAACAAGCTCAGCTCTGTAACCTTAATTACCGTATTTTTTGGAGTATAAAACATATCAGAGTATAAGATGCAGCAAGGTTTTGAAGAGGAAATTTTTTAAAAAAAAGTTTTTGCACTCTGCAAACCTCCCAAAAATGGTCCGTTTTTCACAAAAACGGGCCTGTTTTTTTATTTTTAAGAAGGGCATCAATAGCCCTTAGGAGGCTTGTAGAGTGCTCCTGGGAGTTGGGGGGTGCAAAAACCAACCAGTTTTTGTCAAAAAAAAGGGCATGGATAACCTTTAGGAAGCTTATAGAGTGCTGCTGGGGGCTGGGGGGGCAAAATATGCTGTTTTTTGCTCATTTGTGCCCTCCCTAGCCCCCAGGAGCTCTCTGAAAGCCTTCTAAAAACTATGCATGGCTATTTTGGTGAAGGGGCGGAGTTTCAGGAGGCAAAAAATGCTGTATTCAGTGTATAAGATGCACCCAGATTTTCAGCCTCTCTTTTGAAGGAAAAAGGTGCACCTTCTACTCTGAAAAATACGGTAGCTGGCAGCTGCCTCAAACTGACAAGACTTTAATCAGTTTCACACTAAAGGTTTTTGTCATTTTGTTGCAAAATCGTTTTTATATCACTTTCCTAACTGCAAACACTAGCTACCCAAGGCAGTCCTTACACAAGGACTACCTGATCGTCCCCAACAAAACAAAAAAGTCACAAAAAGAGAACTCTGCCAGTTAGACCTGAGGAAAAAAAGTGCCTAATATGGAATTGGATGACAGGGCCTTGCCCTGTCTTGGTCTTCACTGTAGAAGAAGTGAGCTCAGCCTCTTCCAGCACCAGACTTATTCAGAAAAATATGACATTTCCCATTTTGCCTCTTCAGTTGAATTGTTGGCAATACAAAATATATTTAAGAAGACACACTTGAGATAATTTGATTAGGACATCCAGATCATCATCTCTTTCTTATCCTACAAGAAAAGAAGGCCAAACAAGTCTCCAGGCAAGAGCCCAAGTGAGGTTGCAGAACAGTCATTCTGTTTTCCTGCTTTTGATAGATTTTGTGTCATATTTCATCTGTTTTCCAGTATTCCAGGAACCTCTCTTAATAAAGCATTTTTAATAAATATTGTGTCCAAGTCCAAGATCTCTTCATAAGTGTTGCCTGCTAGGTAATCTACATTCATTGTTCTATGTTTTATGAATTATTATAGCAGTTACAATAATTATTACTGTATTTGTGGTTATGCCATGCCTGTGCCCTCAGTGGAAGAGCAGTAGTCATTATTTTAAATATTTATGTTCTTCCTTGTTTGTTTTCATCCTGTTTACGTACAGCAGGATTACAAAACCACTCGGAGTCCGTCAGCAATGCAAGGAGGGAAAAAGGAAGGAAGGGCCCCAGTTTAAATATTGGCTAATTTCCAAAATAATTTCAGTATTCAAAAAGTTAGATGCCACAAAATGTGCACCATAAATAGAATAGAATAGAATAGAATTCTTCATTGGCCAAGTGTGGTTGGACACGCAAGGAATTTGTCTTTGGTGCATATGCTCTCAGTGTACATAAAAGAAAAGATACCTTTGTCAAGAATCATAAGGTACAATACTTAATGATAGTCATAGGGTACAAATAAGCAATCAAATCATATTAGGAAACAATCAATATAAATCGTGAGGATACAAGCAACAAAGTTAAAGTCATACAATCATAAGTGGGAGGAGATGGGTGATAGGAACGATGAGAGGACTAATAGTAATAGTAATGCAGCCTTAGTGAACAGTTTCACGGTGTTGAGGGAATTATTTGTTTAGCAAAGTAATGGCGTTCGGGGAAAACTGTTCTTGTGTCTCGTTACCTTAGTGTGCAGTGCTCTATAGCGTCATTTTGAGGGTAGAAGTTGAAACCATTTATGTCCAGGATGTGACGGGTCTGCAGATATTTTCACAGCCCTCTTTTTGACTTGTGCAGTGTACATGTCCTCAGTGGAAGGCAGGTTGGTAGTAATTGTTTTTTCTGCAGTTCTAATTATCTCTGAAGTCTGTGTCTGTCTTGTTGGGTTGCAGAACTAAACCAGAC